CGCCCCCGCCCCGCCCACAGCACCTCCTGGCTGTCAGTGACCACGTACACCTCCACGTAGCGCGTCTCTTGGGACAGCGGCCGGTTCTGCAAAGTGGCAATGAGAAGCCGGTCAGTGGCTCTAGGCCCCCCACACTGACCATCTCCTGGGGCCCTGGAGCTGGTGCCCGGCCGCTGCTCAGTTGTGGGAGGGGCCTGTCTGGGAGGCACAGATGAAGGAGCTGTCTCCCGCTGGGCATGTGGACGGCGGGCAGCACTCTCCCGTGGCTGAAGGCGGGGCTTGGGGGATGCACAGGCCCAAGTGGACAGGGGTGAGGCAGGGAGGGGACTCCTCACCCGGGGCCTGAAGGCTGCAGAGGTCCGTGGGCCCAGGATGCTCTCCAGGCTGGTGTTCGTGACCCCGCAGGTCCCGGCCTTCTGCCGCAGGTGCCGGGCCTGGTAGAGCGCATGCCGCCCTGCTTCGCCACCCCCATCCAGCGGTTCAATCAGGTGGACGGCCGAGCCTGCCCGGAAGAAGCCCCTGAGGGCGGGGCGCAGCGGCTCCGAGTCAGAGCCCCGGCCCCGCGTGCCCTTGGGGGGTCCCACTCTGAGCCGGGACAGCATCTGGGCCTTGGGACCCTCGCGGTCGGGACACTTGTCACTTCTAGGGGGAGCCCAGACCCCCAGGTGCACAAAGGGGTCCCCAGGTCCGGCCCTTCTCGGCCTCAGTTCACTTCTGTGGAAGGGGAGGGCACGCACCTGAGGCCGTCGCAGGTGCTGAGGCTGGCAGCAGAGTGCGGGTGGCCCTCCACACGGCCCTGGTAGAGGCAGTGGTCCTGCGGGAGGCGGGCGAGAGGACTCTGCAGGCCCCACTCCTCCCGCCCCCCTGCCCCCCCCAGGGCGGGCTTCGGGCCTACCTGCTTGTGCAGCCGCTCTGTCACCTGGGAGCCGTTGGCGGCCGTGTAGGTCTCCGTGTAGCCCGCACCCACCAGGTCCCTGGAAGAGAACCGCTGTGGCACCCCGGGCCCTGCCGCCTCCCCCAGAAGCTGCACCGGAGGCGAGGCTGGGCCAGGGAGCTGGAGGCGGGGACACGGGCCCAGGGCCCTGCGTACCTGTTCTTCCGCAGGTGCAGGGTGAAGGTGCGCCCATCGGCCCCCAGTACGTAACTCACACTCTCTGGGTATAGGCCCTGGGCAGGGAGAAGGAAGGGATCCAGGTGAGGGGCTCTGCCCCAGGCCACGGCACCCTAGCCTGAAAGGCCCTCAGGGGACCCAGGCTAGTGAGGGTGCTGGGCCGAGCTGGGCTGTCCTGAAGGAGCCCGGCAGGCCTCAGGCCTCAGTTCCTCCACCGGCCCACACCAGGGTAATGACGGTGCCAGCTCTTCCCCAGGAAGCAAGGGAGGGGCAGACAGCCCAGTGGTAGCACAGGAGGTAGGGGTGGGCGGGCCCCTCCGACCCCGTGCCGGGTGCCTGCCCCCAAGAGGCCCCGCCGCTCCCCACAGCCCTGCCTCCTGCCTGCCCACCCCGGACAGTCGGGATGGGACCGCATGCCCCTTGCCCATGGGGGTGTGGGCAGGGCAGGGCTCTTCCCCAGTGAGTCAGGACAAAGCTGCCCCGAGGCACACGCACTCACATGCCTCATGCACACACGCACACTCCAGGAGTTTCGAGGATGCCCCAGGCAGCTCTGGGAAATCCCAGCCTGCCCCCCAAAACGTGTCTCACTGCAAACACGCAAAGGAAGTGACAGGCCCCGTGGAGCCACCCCCCTGGCTAGTTCTGTGGAGGAATTTGAGTGAAACTGGGGAGTGGCCGGGCCAACGGGGCTCCTGGGAGGCAGTCCAGGGACAGCCAACCTTCAGCAGGTGTGACAGCACCCAGGGGCAGGGCAGCTGGGTGGCCCTGCCCACAGGGAGGGGCAGGACACAGGAAAGTAAGGCCTGGGGGAGGGAAGGAGGCCTCCAGAGGCAGAGGACTCAGGCTGGGTGCGAGCCCCTGAGGGGTCAGCTCACAAGCACAGAAGCCCGCCTGGCCCTCAGCCCCCAGGCTGGCCCTTCACAAGTGGCTGGACACATGGGAGGCATAATCCTCTAACACACCAGCTCTGCAGGGCCAGGGAGGGAAGCCCCTTCCCCCACCGGCTTCCAGGCCAGACTCACCAACTGGGAGGACAGGGCTCGCCGGGTGCGGGGTCCTGGCAGGCGCTGGGGCCATACCACCTCATACTGCTCCACGTGGGGCAGCGGGGCGCTGGGGGCAGCCACTGTGGGAGGACGGGGTCAGCAGATATGCAGAGCATCCACCTTCCTGCTTGGGAGACCCTTTCCCAGGCTGTGGTGTGGCAGTGTGGGGCCCAGACCGAGGTCTGGCCCTGGAAAGAACACAGGACCCCCGCCCTGGGTGGGGCCTATAAGCTGCCCCGAGCCAGCCATCCTAGGAACCCCCTCCGCTTCCGAGGCCCCAGTGTGGCTGGGGAGGCAAACGCCAGCACCCTCCATCTCAACCAGGCACAGGGGCGCATCTACTGGGAAGCAACTGGCCCCCCGGGCAGCCGGAGCCCTTGTCTGGGACCTAGAAGCTCCCTCGTACCAACGACGCTAGCCGGGACCCAGCACTGGGGCGAGTAGGCGCGCTGGGGACCAGCCACCCTGACTCTCCTCCCTCCATTCAGGTGCAAACGGATGTGCCTCACAGTCACCTCCAGCAGCGAGGGGCCCGGGGAGGGACCGCCCGGCCCGGAAAGTGGCTCCCATCAGCCCCTTCTCTGGCAGCCTCCAGCACGGGGCTGGGACAGATCCCTCAGACCCGGAGCCCAGGAGGCCCCCGGAGCTCAGTCCTCCCCTGGGGGGACCGCTTGTGGGACACAACCAGCCCCCAGTGCCAGGCCACCGCTCCTGTCTCTGCTTCCCTGTAGGACCAGGGGACCCCCTGGCTGGGCAGTCATCCCAAGGCGGGGAGGGGCCCAGAGCCGCGGAGAATGGCCCAGGCACTTTTCCCTCAGTCCCCTTTGAAATCCAATCTTCCTGCAGCAGCCCCGGGGCTGCCTGCTGAGCGACCCCCAGGGCCCAGCCCCAGCCGGCAGCAGCTCCCTTGGACCTGGCAGGAGCCCCAAGCCCAGCACTCACCCTGCAGCCACAGTGTGCCCAGCAGCCAGAGCCCGCAGCAGCACATGGCTGGGGTGCCCACACGGTCTGGGAGGCGCAGACCGGGACCTGGGG